AGCAGCAGCAGCAGAGGGAGGAGCAGGAGAGGAGGGACTGAGCTGTTCATTCTTTCTAAACTTCACTCAGTATGTTGATGTCAGGAATATGATTTATTTTACTGACATGTTAGATTTGTTTCCAGTGAGATATTAGTGACTTTGATGCTATTCTAGATACATTTAGTTAATACATTTTTTTTTTAATAATATATGCAGTGATTTAGTAATAAATAGGACTGATAAGAGCATCGATAAAGAACTGAACCAATAAGGATTACCAATACAAGTGTGTCAATAAAATCCTAATGATCCCAACTCTTGAGAAAATGTCCAGCCCATCTCTGTGTCCTGGTTTTAAAATCTGGTCCAATTGAATAGCCCTGGTCTACAGTGATCATAGTAATATATCTTCCTTGCAACGAAATGTACATTAAACTGTATGCAGCATTGTAGACAATATTTTGTCCTTGTAATCCATGTTTCCATTGCATGGATAGCCTTTGGAAATTGTTCTGAGTCCCCCTCCTTAAAGGGTAAATTATCATAACAATTTACATTTACATTTACTCATTTGGCGCTTTTATCCAAAGCGATTTACATTTGAGGAACAACATACAAGCATCAACAGAGCATCAAATAGGGAAGGAAGTAAGAGTTAACAAAAAATGCCATCAATACAAGATAAATGTAGGGGATAGAAGAAGAAGAGCACAGGAAGTGCATTTTAGAGGTTAGGAGTTAGAGGTGTTATAAGAGGAAGTCTTCTCGTTTTCAAGAGCTTCTTGAAGTTAGAGAGGGACGCCCCCGCTCTGATGGCGCAAATTTAATAATGCATTGCATTTAAACAGCACTTTTCATACACAAAAAGCAATAACAGTAGCTTTATACATACATACATACATAATTTCCGTGGAGGCGATGTGTTGCAAGTAGGGTAGCCTATTAATTTTAGTGAATGTAAAAATATCACCACAAAGTATGTAGGCCAACTTGCTCTGGCCTTTGCTCTGCATGAAGAGAAGGCTGAAACATGAGTGCACAGACTGTCCGTATGCGGGTTCATGACACTTCACGAGCGAGGACGTGGTGTTTGTCCTGCCTCTCCTGCACTGTGATTGGACAGCTGAGTAAAAAGTGACAGTGACGAGCGCAGCGTTTTTCCCAAAGTTGAACATTTTTCAACTCTCGGCAACCGGAAAAAAACGCTCAGCACTCAGCGCCTCGTCACGCTCCTGCCATTTATACCAGCTTGGAAAAACGCGGCGCTTTCATTGGAATGAGTTGACGCTGGCGTCAGAAAAAACGCTTTGGTGGACACGGGCCCTGACAACACAACTGGCCCCAGCCTGGCCACCTTAATAAAATTGGTCTAGAACCGCCACTGCAGGGCTCACATTGACCTCTAGGATGATGTTCGTCTCTTCACAGTGCTTGTACATGCCCAGAGTCACAGTTAAACAGGATCATCAGCATGGACACATTATCCAACCACATGGATGAAGAGGTTAAGGTCATAACACATTGGATGAGAGATCATAGTCATTCATATAATTCATCAACAGCTACATACTAGAAGAACGTAAGTGGATTAATGATGGCCGATTTTTTTCACATGGTACCACAATTCTTTCAGCTTTATTTAATTGTGGGAAATTTAAAGGTATCTTAATCACACTAAACACGTTAATCAGTTTGTCTTGCTCTGTAGCATCACATTTAGTTTTTAGATTGACAACCGCACATAACCAAGTCTGGTTTCAATGATATCTGACGTTATTTTTTTGCACAAATCTCAGTGTAGATTGCTCCTTACATAGAATGAGATGGACCTGGTCCACATGCAGCATTACTCCTGGGTTTGGAAGCAGTATATGTTGCAGGGCTTTTCCAGGAAATGGCTAACGCAAAAAATAGTGGCATCAGCAGCTAGCAGTGGGACTTTGTGTGGCAGCCTGAGATGCCACAGACTTACTGGGGCACTTGCTGCTGTTTTTAGCAACAGCTGCCTCCACGGTAACTACCGCTGACCTGCCGCTGTTTGTGGCAACGACCATCACTGCAGAGGAGAGTTTTTGAAACACTCAGAAGCATAGTAAAACCAAAGCAGTACCAATGGAAAGTTAGTCTTTTGCAGTAAAATAAAGTTTATAAAATAAAAAGTGAATAAAAATAGACATTGTCAAATTAAAACCATTAAGTGATTATATTTTTGAAAATGTGTAGAAACATACTTACTAACTTACTAAAGAAGAATCAAAATCAGAAACTTTTTTGCCAACAAGGTTTTACACATTCAAGGAATTTTCTTTTGTATCTTGGTACATAACAAAAACTGTAGTATTTAGAAAACAAGTACTGAAGGTCAAGAAAATATTAAAGGATATGTACTAACAGCAAAGTCTAGTTTGTGCAGGGATGTGCAGTGTGAGAGTCAGGTAAACTATGGACTATGATTTTTTTTATAATAAAGGTTAAAAGTCTTTGTCCGTTATGTTTAAACCCAGTGATTTAAATCCTCAAATGATGAATTGTCTTCAGATCGAAAGGGATTATATTAAAGACTTTCCAAAAATGCAGAAGCAACAAGTGTCTGGATTCAAGCTCTCTAAGAAACATGTTGAAAAAAAGTGTTTACAAATAAAGAAGATTGGCATAGTGATGCATGGTGTAGAAAAGATGGTGGAACTTTGTTATATCTGAAAAATGTGTTTATCTTTGCCTCTTTGTACAAAGTCTCTTTCAACCACAAGGTGGCAGCATTTATCAAATTATGTCCACTGTCGTCCTGCAGCTCTATGTGTGTTACTAGCTGGACAGAAAGTAACATGATGGCTGACAAGGTAATCTATAATTCTGATATAGTACGGTATATAAATATTTGTAAATATATAAATTAACATTGTATGACTGTTTTGTAACTCAAATACTACTCAAATACATTTGTGTTGTTTTACCCAAGTAATTATTAAAAATAGATAATAATATAAAAAAGACAATTTGTAAAGACTTTTTATTTTTCATTTTTATCTTCTTTTACAATGCATCTATAAGAAATTGGTTTAAGATAGTACAGCTTTAAGCTTAAAATGTTTTTCTATCCTGATATGCTGCTAAAACATGTTTCTTAGAGTACAGTGGCCGTTCTAGCCCAATTTTATTGAGGGGGCCAGGCTGGGGCCAGTTGTTTTGTCAGAGGGGCACATTTAACCCGGGACAAAGGCCATGTTCAAGCTTTCAAATATCTTGTTTAGTATATAATGTAATGTTTTAGTATGTTTCTGTATCAGTTGTTTGTTTCAGGTTTTGGTCCTGATGGACCGCAGCCTCCTGCCAGAGGAGGCAGACTGAAACAGTTTGTGTCCGGGATGGGAGGGGTCAGATGCAATCTTTCCTGCACGCCTCAGAGTCCCGGAGGCATACGGGTCCTGAAGAGATGGAAGGAGACAACCAATCACCTTCTCTGCAGAGCGAATGATACGCTGCAGCCTGCCCTTGTCCCTGGCAGTGGCAGCAGCGTAACAGATGGTGATGTAGGAGGTGAGGATGGACTCGATGATGGCTGTGTAAAAGTGCACCATCATTATCTTTGGCAGGCTGGACTTCTTCATCCTCTGCTGGGCCTTCTTGGTGAGGGAGATGATGTTCAGCTCCCACTTGAGGTCCTGGGAGATGATGGAGCCCATGAAGCGGAAGGTCCACAGTGGCAACTGTGGAGCTCCCAACTGTTCTGGCTGCACCAGGTCACCAGTTGGTCGATCTCCCACCTGTAGGCAGACTCATGAGATGAGCCCAATGAGGGTGGTGTCTCCATGATCTTGAGACTTTCCTGGGAGACACAGCAAACCTTCTTTCTACAACAGCACCGAAGAGATGTAGTACTTAGTACTTATTGATGCTACAAACAAACTGGTACCAAATTGGCTCGTGGACTAGTTAGTGGAATTCTTTGTCTCCATTTTGTTTAAAGACTTATTGGCTGGTGTCTCCCTGATGAAAAGATGGTTAATGTGGAGAATTTTGCACAATGTCTCAGTGTGGGATTGTTTGATAAGCAAACTAAAGACCAGCTACTGAGAATAGCAAAGTATTATGAAGTAGGCCTTCCAAAGCAGGGTCGTAAGGAGGTCATTGTGACAACTTGCCAGTTAGGACAACTTGAAGTGTTGCCAGCATTAGCAATCTTTGGTTTAAAAGGTGGTGTGCTGGCCACTCAGGAAGCTGCTGCAGTATCAGCAAGATAAAGAGAATGAGGAACTAGCACTTGCTCACGAGGAGCGGCTCCGTGCTCGAGAGCAAGCCCTGCAGATTGTGAGAAGAAATGCAGCAGCTGAAAAACAGGCAGCTCGAGGAAGATCCAACAAAACAGTATTTAATCTTTGAAAAGCATTTAGTTTTTTCCTTGACAGTAGCGTTCCAAGGTTTCAGTGTGATTGGGGGACGTGATCAGTGCATTTATTTCATTTCCTCTTAGAACAAAATGTGTGTAACTGCACGATTTATTGTGAACTGCAAAAACAGTATACTTTGACAATGCATGCGATTCCATTTGGATGTACTATGGAACTGGGGCACTGGTCTCTGCCTGTAGGAGGAAGATCTGCCATTTTCAAAGATCAAGTTTACACTTCCTGTTTACCAGTATTTTACAGCTGGTCCATGTTTTCCTGCTCTATATTTGTTACTTGTTCACAAACGGTCCAGCAACACCCACCAACCCTTAAAAGCAGTGGACCTCAGTTCTCGGCAACATATTATGTGTTCAGGATTTAAATATTTTAAATAACACCAGAATTTATTTATTAAAATAGGTTGTTTCTCAAGGATTGCTTTTCATTTTCCTATTTTTTTTTCTGTCTGCCGTCTTACGAGGCACTTTCTAGAGGTGTTTGAAAACTCCTGGTGTAACCAGTTTACATCACTTCTTCAAACAGCAAAATAGTGGATAAAAATGTTAAAACAGTTGTTGGGGTGTAAAGTTGGATACAAATAAATAATTTCAGAAATTTATACAAAGGAAACAACATCTATACACAGTTTACTGAACGTAAACATGAAAATAAAGCAATAAAAGCAACTGCCATCTAAACAAACGTGTGGCAAAAAATGAAAAATATAAACAGTTTATTTACACAGATAATATCTACTTAAAATAACAAACTATTGATGAAAACATTCTGCAATTTAAAAAACACTAATAAAATACTATAATTAAAGCAATTGCCATCTAAACAAACGTGTGGCATTAAATCAAATATAAACAGTTTATTTAAACAGATAATATCTCTACTTAAAATAACTATTAAATAACTATTGATAAAAACATTCTTCAATTTATTCTGCGTTGACGTGGCTGGAGCTTGGTCTTTCGCTCTCCCCTGGAGACAGCCGGCCTTCCTCCTTTGGGAGAAGACAGCAGAGTCAGTAGGTTTGTTGTGAGATATACAAATTTTCTTCTTCCATTGGTACGACAATGTCAAAGTTAGAAATCAGAGCTTTGTTTATTATTATTTTGTTCTTGTCATGTTTCCTCCCACAGCACAGTCCTTCTGTTCTAACCAAAGAACGGATGTATGTACTGCAACTGTACCTCTTTGGTGTCCTCCAGCGCTTGCATGATCGATGCGACCACCAGGTTCACCAGCACAAACTGAGCCATAACCACGAAACTGATGAGGTACAACGGAGAGACCCAGGAAAGGTATCTCATACAGCCGTGCTCATCAGGATGACATTCTCTTAGTGTGTCCTTGAGAGACACAGAGCAAGATTCAGAAAGGAAGAGGGACTGGCACACAGACTGGAGACAACATTACAAAATCATTCTTACTTCGAAACCACAGAAATTATAATAAACTGACAATTGGAAACTAAACGGTAGAGCAAAAGTTAGGATACAACATCATTGTAATGCTTTGTTTTATGAGTCTGTAATTTACTAACGATTCCCCAAATGATTCCCTGAGAAGTTTCATTGAAAGAACTGCTCCATTTTAATCAAATGTAATTATTCATTATTCATATATGTACTTCATATATGTTGAATTGTAGACAAATTGTTTAGCTGACTTGTTGTCCACTGACTAAACACTCCCGAAATTAATTAATTGGAAGTTGCCAGGGGGGGCAGTGGTTGGGGGATCCTATGCTGTATGTATAGAACTTGTGTGTCATGAGGGAGTGAGTACATACTTTCATAATCACGTTCCAGTTGTCTCCGGTGCATAGGCCGTACAGTGTGATCAGGGCCACCCCAAAATGTCTGAAGTTGGCTTCATCATGTAAACCCAGGCACGGGTGGTCATCACTGCATTCTGATAAACACAGAGGCACACAGCACAGACATACAGATATTGACTTCAGTGCACAGTGGACATGTTGGCTTCAACCAATTAAAATCCTTCAGATATGTGTTTGAGTCACTTTCTTATTTTAACATACTGATAGTGTGGCATAAGAGTAGGCCTGTAATATTTATCCAGATTCCTTTGTAATTTTAGGATTAGTTAATGGCTAAATGATGCTCTGGGGGGGGGTATTTACTAACAGTTTTTCGCATCAATAAATTCTCTTCTCAAACCTCCCACACATGCACATGCTGACACCAGTACAGACCAGTGCAATAGGTTCATGGACTTTTTCACCAACAGGGTGGCTTCCATCCGGTCCAACCTCTCTGCCACAGTTTCACCTTCCTCCAAAAATCAGTCTCACAAACCCATTCAACACATTTTCTGTCTTTTCACGCATTTCTCAGACAGAGGTGGAGAGGATCACAAAGTGCATGAGAACCTCCACATGCTCACTGGACCCTCTCCCCACACCATTATTAAAATCCAACATTACAGCCATCAGTCCACTGATCACAGCAATCCTCAACCAGTCACTCAAATCCGGTCAGGTTCCTCCAGCTCTCAAAACTGCAGTTATCCGCCCCCATCTTCAAATACCGTCACTTGACCCCTAAATCCTGGCTCATTACAGACCCATTTCAAACCTGCCGTTTTTGTCTAAAGTCTTGGAAAAAGTTGTTCCAGCCCAACTCCACAATCACCTTCACATCATAACATATACGAAAGATTTCAGTCTGGTTTTCGAGCAGCACACAGCACGGAGACAGCCCTGGTCCGCGTCATGAATGACCTACTTATGACTGCAGACTGGGCTCACCATCTCTCCTCTTTCTACTGGACCTGTCGGCCGCCTTTGACACCGTGGATCACAACATCTTGCTCCACCGTCTCCAGTCTGTGGTAGGACTCTCTGGGACCACACTAAGCTGGTTCCAGTCTTACCTCACAGGTAAGGACGGAGTATGTGGCTCTAGGACAGTCCCAATCATCACCCCACACAGTCAGCTGTGGAGTGCCAAGTGTGCGTCCTCGGTCTGACCCTTTTCACCATCTACTTACTACCCTTTGGTCACATCATCCATAAACACAAAGTTTCATTCCACTGTTACGCAGACGATACACAATTATACATAAAAATGTATACTCCACACTCCCCTCAGCTCTGCCATCTGCACTTCAGGTTTGCCTGGAGGAGATAAGGGCATGGATGTCTGACAACTTTCTTGAATTAAATAGCAGCAAAACCGAAGTCATCCTGATCGGTACCCCACACCAAACCCAGTCCTCCTCCCTCAGCAGAATACCCATTTTTGGTCATCACATTGCCCCGTCTACCTCTGTTACAAACCTCGGAGTCAGACTTCACTCAAATCTCACATTTGACACCCACATCCGCCACCTTTGTAAGATCTCCTTCCTCCACCTCAAAAACATTGCCAAACTCTGCCCCTCCCTCTCCCAACCGGATGCTTAGAAGTTGATCCATGCCTTTATCTCCTCCGGGTTGGACTACTGTAATGCCCTCCTCGTCGGGATCCCTAGCAGGAGCCTGCAAAAGCTCCAGCATATTCAGAACTGCGCTGCCCGAGTCCTGACAAGGAGGTGCAAAAAACTGCCCATTCAACACAGAATCCAGTACAAAATCTGTCTCCTCACCCATCAGTGCATACATGGAACTGCCCCCTGCCTTCCTCAGTGAACTCCTCACCCCACACACCGCCTCACGAAACCTCCGCTCCTCCACCTCTACCTACTGCCTGCACCAACCAAGGACTAAACTCTCCACTATGGGAGACAGGGCCTTCCAGGCAGTCGCCCCACGGCTCTGGAATGCCCTCCCAGAGACCCAAAGGGCCCCGCAAACTGTGGAGGTTTTTAAGAAGGTCCTAAAGACATTCCTATTTCAAAAGGCCTTTCAACACTCATGATTTTAATTTTATTTTTGTGGTGTTTTATTCCTATTTGTTGATTTTGTTATATTTTGGGAACTGTTTTTAACCCCCTGCTACTGTAGCACTTTGAGACTTCATTGAAATGTAAAGTGCGTTATAAATAAAATGTATTATTATTATTACTAGGCTGCCTCCTGAGGCTGACTCTCCTTGAGGATTAGCTAAAGGGTTTCTGGCTTTCCTTGTCAACAATGTGGATACTGGGCAAATCTGGGATCAGCTCTGTAACCATGATCCTTTGCAGTAACCCCGTGTGAAGGTGTGTGTTCTGCTAGTAGTGTAACTTACGTAGCTTACCATAGAGCTCCACTCCCACCGCAGCGTATATACCAAATGACAACATGAAGATCACACAAATATTCCCAACCTGGAATCAAAATCAGTGTTAGATCTGCTGCACAACAAACACTAAGATGTAGATACTCTAAATTCTCAACCACGGGCCGGGGCCATTTTGTACCTCAACTAAAAGGAACTACTTTTTTTGAAACAGGCTATGATTACACACTTCTTCCAACTTTTGAACTTAAAAGGATCGTATCCCTTTAATTGATCAGTGATCACTTAATCCGGCTGTACAGCCAACTTGAGTTTTATGACGGCCAAAAATTAGGCCCTATCTGATGTGATTAGTTTTTATTAACATGCAAATTTAAAAATAAAACTGACACACAGCACTGTCGCTGGGTTCCTAGTGTGTAAACAGCACACAAACAGAGATACCTCAGGGACAGATTCTTCATACTGTAATGTGGGTAAACATCAAGCACCAAATGCAGCAAGAGCAAGGTTATCCCTGTGCAAAACCAAATAATTTATATTGATTTATTTAGACAAAAAACTAAATAAATCCCTCATTGTCTGTGTTTACCTGTGAAAGAGTCTTTATGATGGTTTTTAGCAGAATTCGTAGCTTTCTGACCTTCAGGACTGAAGAGAGACACAAGAGTTGTCACAGATAACTTATATTTGTCACCCAAAGATACGAATAGTATTACGCTTTCAGTGTGTGTATAGTACCTGGTACTACTCTGAGTATTCTGCATACTCCCAGGATGCTGGGATTAATGGGAACTATGTCTGCCATATTTATCTGGTGCAAAACAATGCTGACGATGGAAACCACGAGTACAGCAACGTCCAGCAGATTCCAACTAAACACACACAAAAGTCATTGAACACTTTTCAGGCGCTTACACACAAATGCAAATAAGAGAAGCTAATTTCTTGCTCATTGTACTGTGTCACCTCATTTTTATGAACTCCCTTATGCCCAACTGCACAAGGTTCTTCATGACTTCAATAAACATGATGAAGGTGACCAAACAGAAGTAATACTGTGTAATCCTCCCTATATACTGAGCAGACACACAAAAGGTTTATTCTATTGCCTCAGAGTCAATGCAAATGCAAATACATTTTTTGAGAGTGATTGTGTGTGTGTGTGTGTGTGTGTGTGCGCATTACCGGAGGTTGATTGTAATGTTGGAGACCCATCATCACAACATTGCTGATAATAACGACAGACATGAAGTGGTCCGAGTTGCTGCTGCTACGCGGAGAATCTGTAGCTGCAGGATCTGGAACACACACACACACAAAGATGCATTCAGATGTACACACAGAAAAAGGAACATATAACAAACACTAAAAACATTTAGAGCTGCTCTAATCAATATTAGTATTACATCAACAATTACATCACATGGCTACAAAAAGATGCAAAAGGAGTCACTCAAAGTGATGAACCCAAAGAGGCTTATCACACCATTCTGCAGGTCATCTCAAGTCTACAAAGCATTTCAACGTTGGTTTTATGGTTCACACTTTATTGTTTTGGTTCACTATCATCATCTCATCAGCGTTACATACAGCTGCAGCAGGCAGCTGTTTTTACCTCTGTTAAACCCACTGGTCGAAACCAGTCCGAATACATGCATCTCCCTGGCCAATATGATCGGCCACTGTTTGCTAGACCTAACCAGTCTTTCTCGTTTGTTTGTTAGACTGTGAAAGGCAATGCTCAGAAAAATAGACCGCCAACAAGCCCCTTCATTCTCCTTACTGTTGCACTGGACTTTTCCTCCCTCTTCAAGTAACTCTCCATCGCTACTTTTTTGATTCTGCTGACACTGGTGGAAGGTCTCCACCATTACACTAATAAACATGTCGAGCAGAAAGAAGCTTATAATCATGAAGGTGATAAAGTAGAATAGCATCCATTCGTTGTGATTCAAAACAGGCTGAGAGGAGAAGAGCAGAGAGGAGACATCAAGGGCGCATTTATTGCACTGCTGTCAATAGAAGGCAAAACAACTTGTGTATAAATAACAGTGTAAACACATCAATAATTTACTTTGCTAGCAGAAATACCTGTTGGTCCACTCCCACAGCATCCAGCCCATCATACATGATGTTCATCCAGCCATCTTTAGAGAACATTACAAACAAGCTCATCAGAGCCTGAATGGGAAACAGAGAAATAAGTGGTAAGTCAACACTTGTTCCCCAGGTCCTACCATTTCTTTCACCAGTACGCACCTTCATTACTGTAGTGGATCAGCCAGTGTTTTTTTTTATTTTATGCGATTATGAGATTCCAAAAAATCTCCTTTGTCTCTCCCTGATGAAGTGGGGGTGGGGGGGGGGGGGCACTAGAGACAGGCTGACCAAAACCTAAAGTGAAAGGTCCTCCTCCCCTGGAGTTGACCTTTCAATTGTTCTCTCATGGAACCATTGTCCCCCAAGAGGACAAACTAAGTATTACATGCCATCGTTCTGAAATGCCGCCCCTGCTGTTTAATGTATTACTCTGTATTTCAATGTTCATAATCTGATGCCATGTTCGTGTAACTTGCTTATATATATATATATATATATATATATATATATATATATATATATTTAAGTACAAATGTTTAACAGCCAATATTATCCAGGAAATATTGAGTTAAGTCTCTTTCATTCTGAAATCGTGAAAATGTGTTTAACTGGTAACCATTCTAATATTACAACGATTAAGTAACTTTCCTTTCTTTTTTATCAAATGCTTAAAACTAAGAACGGTATAACTGTTTGACATTAAAGGTTTGATTGTGGGAAGATATTTGATTAAAATACGCGCATATAGCCTTTAGGACCATATTAAAAGTAGACCGGAAGCCAAGCCCCCTGGGGACACGCCCCAAGCGGCCAGACAGACAAAACAGCACTAGCTCAACCAAGGTATGATGTCCAATAGTCTGTTATTACATTAGCTTATTACATATGTTGCCGAGGACTGAGGTCCACTGCTTTTAAGGGTTGGTGGGTGTTGCTGGACCGTTTGTGAACAAGTAACAAATATAGAGCAGGAAAACATGGAACAGCTGTCATGCGCAGAACCGCTAAGTAGCACATCTCGATAGCATAAATCGACAGAACACCAGCCAGCTCCGCCAATTTTGAGCTTCATACATATTACTGGACGAAGCCACCCCGTTGATTTGAATGGAGAGCAGTGAAGCCAGTTTTGGACCAATAAAAAACTACTACAGGGCCACTTCCTGTTAGCACCAGCGTCTACTGCGCATGATCGCGCAGCATAACCGCGGTTTAATGACGTAGAACTGCAGAAACACCGTAATTCTGGTAGCTGTAGAAATTCGCCAACAAAACGTTTCATGGCTCAGTGTGTTTGACTCGGATCATCACTGTTTAATCAGCCCACCTACAAGGTTCACCTGTCAAACACCAAAGCAGATGATTGCTCTGATAGTTTTTTTTTTTGATTGCCGAGAGTTTATAATCTAAGCAATACGGTTACACCTCTCACAGGGTTTTGACATCATTTTTGGGCCTACATGCATCCCTCCATGCAGGCTTTGATCGGCTTCACTGTCCCTTCTCTGGCTTACCCCCTTGCTGCAAAACGGCTCTGCAGAAACCAACGGGTGACGTCACGAACGCTACGTCCATTTTCATATACAGTCTATGCCACAAATCACGTGAGGCGCAAGCTTGCAACCGTGTGGGCGTATCTCTGCAAAGTGTGTGTTGTAAACTCAGCTCTGAAAAAAGATAGTTTGCAATAGGAGTGCAAATGTAATAAAGTTTTGCCCTTTTGAATCTCAATTTTCAGATCATCATTTACAAGGTTTCAAACCTGGAAAACAAACTAATGCACTGGGAGAACAAAATTGTTTGTGCAACATCGTAAAAAAATGTTCTGAAGAAGGAAAACTCAAAAACAACAATGTTTGCAGGCTTGCAAATCTTAGTTTTCGATCTTACAAAACTTTGTTTTGTAAGATTTTGAGTTTTCAAAATTTTGAATCATGGCGGGATATTAATCCCATACAGACACAGACTGCACAAGATTAAAAGAGTCAATGAGGTGTAAAAAGTCTTTTGCCAGTGGGTTTTCAGGACAACACACATGAACATTAAAATCCCCAACAATGAGGACACGATCGTATTTACAGACAAGTCATTTACAAAGTCCTTATTGTATTTGGGAGGCCGGTAGACCACTGCACACAACACTGTGTGATATAAGCTCAGCTCAAAGCTGGTGACCGAGGATGATGGCGACAATTACATTTCTAGACATTCTTATAACAGCTGCTATATGCCTCCTCCTCTGGAGTTCAAACAGCAACAGTCATGCGGTAAGAGTTCAGAAAAGGCACTGGACTCACCAACACTCAGCCATGTCTCAGTCACACAGAGAAGAAGAAATCCTCAAGGTTCAAAGTTTTGTTTGCTAGCGATCTAGCGTTTATCAGGCCAATTCTGACAGGAACAGGCGGTTCTGCAGCGCTGATTTTCTGAGGAACCCGACACAGAGGCCGCAGGTTCCGCAGATTTTCCCCGCGCCAGCGGGGGCGAGGAGAGCAGGGGCCGCATGGCTGGAACACCTCATCTAGGCCGACAGCAGGTACCTACCAGGCGTCGACAGGGTCCAGCAATCGCCGAGGAATGAGGAGCCGAGGCACCGCTTGGTACTCAGCCCAGGAAGAAGACGCTAAACAGGCTTTCAACCTCACCAGCTGACCGCTGCGTTTTCCCCGGCGGCGGTAGCGCTTAGGCCTACGCCGGAGATGTGAAGCCTCAGAGCGGCAAAGGCAAGCAGGTATTCCCGATAGGAGCGGGGGCAAAGTTTTATATCCGCCATGATCAAACCTTACTAGATCTTTGGCAGAGAAATGAAGATCCAGTAGTGTTTGGCGATCTTACACCAATATTGAATCAACGTTTTGAACAGCAATTCATAGTTTTCAGTCACGTGACATGCACAGTGACCTGGAGGGCAAAACAACGGACCAACATAGCGGCTCACACCGCGACTCCCCCGTAGAGACGCAGCAGTCAAATTTTATTTGGATCACCTTTCAACTCAACAAAAAGAAAGATATGAACACAAACTGCAAGTGTTGTTCATATCTGATCCATACAACGTTACAGCATCCGCTGCCGTATTTCTACTGCCAGGTTCCGGCCACCGCTCGGACTGCGGAAATGTTTACTTTTACCTTCTGGGGAATCCCTCACCTAACATAGCTCAGGCTTGTCTTCTCGATTAGTAAAAGCACAAACAAGCATCCAGCATTTTGGCAACGCAAAAAGTAAAGCTGATGATACACAGAGCAACTTATAGAGCAATCGTGCAGGGCAACGTTGCTCAAATAGTTGCCCCGTGTATCATCAGCTTAACAGTGTATCACTTGCATATTGGTTGGAAGGCAACGGAAATTCTTTTTGCCATTCAAGGGAGCGTTTTAATTGGAGTGTGATGTCACGTGAAAACTATGAATCGACACGAACAGCACGAACACACACAGCACTGACAGAGAGAAATCTCATCTCATCCTCATATATAAACGTAATAATTAAAGATTGATTAGAGCCTACATAAACGTAATAATGTTTCTGGTCAATTTCAAACCAATACTAAATGTGACGTCACGATAATAAGGTTCTTTGACGTCCTACATTGATGTATTATTTTTTAAATCAGGTGTGACGTTGTGCTTTGATCTTTGAAGATAAAGGCAAAATGTTACACTGCATTCAAAATGTGACATCACCTGGCAGAAATGACCTACCCAGCTTCTGACTTTATATATATACATTAAGTCAGAAGCCCACGGTGATATCTTCACAAATCTTTTTCTCAAAGCAGGGTTTTTTTTGGCACAAGTTACAACAAAAAAAGAAGAAAAAAGTTCAATAGGATACTGAATGAGAGCTGGTGGAAACATTTAACTTGTAGAAATGGGATCAGCATTACCTAAACTAAAGTTGTATAATGTTATCAAAAGAAATGACAGTGTGTTGGATAAATCAAGATCAACACTGTATATTGTAAGAGGGGCCCTACATGATGGACGTACAGGGAAAGTGTTCCAGTGCAAACTATTTCAACAGGCCAAGAAGGACGTGGCTGTGAAGATTATGCATAATAAATTCACCTGGTCTGGTGAAAAGGAGTTGACAGCACTTAAAAAACTCAGTAAGCTTGACCCAGACAAGAACAGCTTGGTCAGGTTTAATAGGCATTTTAAAGACTTTCAACACGTTTATCAGGAATATGAACTGCTCGACAAAAGTCTGTACGACTTCATGAAACTACAGCACTTCAAGCCACTGTGTTTATCTGGGATCAGAGTAATCACACAACAGCTCCTGGTGGCTCTGAATGCTCTCAAGAGCATCGGTCTGGCTCATACAGACATCAGCCCAGAAAAGGTAATGCTTGTGAATCAGTTGCAGTCATTCAAGGTGAAACTGATTGGTTTTGGTGCAGCAGGACCAGTTTCCACATTCAGGTATGGCACCACCGACCAGTGCGTTGCTTACAGGGCCCCAGAGGACTTGTTGGGCCTCCCAATGAACGAGGCCAGCGATATGTGGGCACTAGGTTGCACTTTGGCCTTCCTGTACCTGGGACAGCACCTTTATCCAACAGAGTCTGAATATGAGGTCATGAGAGCCATCGTGCAGATGCAGGGTCTGCCTGATGAACACATGCTGAAAGACGGAGGAAGGACCAGCACATTTTTCACCTGTGAAAACTATTTATGGAGGCTGAATGATAAATATGAAAACTACCACAGAACAGGCCACCAGTTTACCAGTCTGGATGACATGGTGAAGACCCACTCAGAAGTGAAGAATGGTGCTGAATATGAAGACACACAGGCCTTTTTAAGCCTCATCAAACAGATGCTGCAAGTGAATCCTGAAAAAAGAATCACCCCCAGCGAAGCTTTAGAGCACAGTTTTGTCACAATGAAACACTTTCACACTAACGAAGACCCTTATGTGAGATCTGCCTGTTTGGCCATGGAAGACTGTCAGCAGGAGCATTCATTGGTTAAACGCAAACCCTTTGAAATATTCACTAGAGTAATGACTAATTTCACTAGAGGTAAGGAAGTTCTGCGTCATAAATCAAGACTGTATATTGTAAGGGCGCACCTGGCGAAAGGAGTTACTAGGCGTGTGGTCCGGTGCAAACTATTTCAGGATGGCAGGGACGTGGCTGTGAAGGTTTTGCCTTATATCATGCCTGATAAAAGGGAGTTGGCCGCACTTGAAGAACTCCGTAAGCTTGACCCAGACAAGAACAACTTGATCAGGTTCAATTGGCGTTTTACACACATGGCCCACATTTGTCTGGAATATGAACTGCTCGACATAAATCTGTATTCCTTCATGAAAAGGAGGCACTTCAAGCCACTGTGTTTATCTGAGATCAGAGTAATCACACAACAGCTCCTGGTGGCTCTGAATGCTCTCAAGAGCATCGGTCTGGCTCATACAGACATCAAGCCACATAAGGTAATGCTTGTGAATCAGTTGCAGTCATTCAAGGTGAAACTGATTGGTTTTGGTGCAGCAGGACCAGTTTCCACATTGAGGTATGACAACACCGATCAATGGCTTATTTACAGGGCCCCAGAGGACTTGTTGGGCCTCCCAATGAACGAGGCCATCGATATGTGGGCACTAGGTTGCACTTTGGCCTTCCTGTACATGGGAAAGCACCTTTATCCAATAGAGATAGAATATGAGTATGAGCTCATGAGAGATATCGTGCAGATTCAGGGTCTGCCTGATAATGACATGCTGAGACATGGACATAAGACCAGGCTATTTTTCCACTTTAAAAACTATAGATGGAAGGTGAATAATATATTTGCATACTACGGCATGACAGGCAACTGGGCCTCTTCCTCTTACAGCAGGTTTACCTGTCTGGATGACATGGCGAAGACCCACTCAGAAGTGAAGAATCGTGCTGAATATAAAGACACACAGGCCTTTTTAAGCCTCATCAAACAGATTCTGCAAGTGAATCCTGAAAAAAGAATCACCCCCAGCGAAGCTTTAGAGCACAGTTTTGTCACAATGAAACACTTTCACACTAACGAAGACCCTTATGTGAGATCTGCCTGTTTGGCCATGGAAGCCTGCCAACTGGAGCATTCATTGGTTAAACGCAAACCCTTTAAAACATCCAGAAATGGTTCGTCCATTACTAAATTGGATGATACACTTTCAGCTGATGATAGAATTGAAGAAAATGAACCACCAGCCACAGCTGACATTGTCACTGCTGGAACTAAAAACACTGGACTACCAGACAAAGTAGCCAGTTCTGGCTTTAATGACCCCAACAATGCTGGGACAGATGAGAAAGCATCAGGCACAGATAAGGCTGCTTCACCTGCTCCTGTTAGTCATAATTCACATGATAGAACTGTGGAAAATGAACCACCAGCCACAGCTGACATTGTCACTGCTGGAACTAAAAACACTGGACTACCAGACAAAGTAGCCAGTGCTGGCTTTAATGACCCCGACTATGCTGGGACAGATGAGAAAGCATCAGGCACAGATAAGGCTGCTTCACCTGCTCCTGTTAGTCATAATTCACATGAGGGCAACACTAACAATGATAAAGGAAACACACACTTTGTTGAAGTCAAATGCCGGAAGAAGTGGCTGAAGAAGATCAAGAGATTCTTCTCCAGGATGATCAAGCCATAAGTTGCTGCAAAGATTTTACTACACAGCACATTTTTCCTTTCTAAGTTGCACCTATTTATTCAAAAATTATATATTTTTTTTACATTTGTTTTTCAACTGCATGTTTAGTGCAACTGTAATATTGTAAATATTCATATTTTGTAAATAACTGCCACATTTATTTTTCCTTTCTAAGTTGCACCTATTTATTCAAAAATTATATATTTTTTTTACATTTGTTTTTCAACTGCATGTTTAGTGCAACTGTAATATTGTAAATATTCATATTTTGTAAATAACTGCCACATTTATTTTTCCTTTCTAAGTTGCACCTATTTATTCAAAAATTATATATTTTTTTACATTTATTTTTCAACTACATGTTTAGTGCAACTGTAATATTGTAAATATTCATATTTTGTAAATAACCATCACATTGTTATTTTTCCATTCTAAGTTGCACCTATTTATTCAAAAATTATATATTTTTTACATTTATTTTTGTCAACTGCATGTTTAGTGCAACTGTAATATTGTAAATATTCATATTTTCATGCTGCTCTACCAGACAACAACTTTTACGCCTTATTTGACCAGCACAACACAGATACTCCCCAAAAGGCCCCCTGTGATCCAGAAGAGAATGCACTCCAGTTGACGCACACACAGGTCCTCCGGGCTCTGAGGCAGGTGAACCTCCGCAAGGCAGTAGGACCTGACCGTGCAGCACGAGAGTCCTGAAGGCCTGCGCAGAACAACTAGCAGAGGTGTATACAGACATCTTTAACTCCTCTCTCTCACAGGAAACAGTTCCACGCACCTTTAAGTCCTCTGTTATTGTGCCGGTCCCCAAAAAAACAAACACAACGAATGACTTCAGACCCGTGGCACTCGCACCAGTTGACATGAAGTGTCTGAAAAACTGGTACTAAAACATATAAACTCTGTGGTTCCAGACAAAGTGGATCCCCTTCAGTTTGCCTACCGCTCAAACAGATCAGTGGATGATGCGGTGGCGCTTCACTCCACCCTGCAACACCTGGACTCTAACAACACATATGTACGGATACTGATGCTTGATTACAGCTCCGCCTTCAAATCAGACCGACTAAGCTGACTGCCAAGCTGGCAGACCTGGGAGTACCAACACCCACCCATAACTGGATCCTGGACTTCCTTACAGACAGAAAGAAGGTCTCTGCTGAGCTCACAGTCGGCACAGGAACCCCACAGGGCTGTTGTCTCAGCCCTAAACTCTTTTC